AAATGTTTTTTCTACAAAATGAATAAGTAAAACACTTGTTCAAGTGTTTTACATATTCATTTTGTAGAAAAAACATTTTCATATACTAAAAGTCAACTTTAAATGCAAATGAAAGTTAAAGTATGTTTCAAAATGGCACAAGTCCTGTCTTTCCTGTCAACTTATGTCTTTTTTATGTAAAACGAGGCGCAACTGTAGTGAAATAATATAATTTTATTTGTAACAAAAGTAAAAAATCGAAGCTTGCTGAAAATGCATATAGTTCTAGAAAAAGAGTGTCTAGTGTAAGAAACAGTGGAAATTATAAACATGAAAAAATAAAAAAATGCCAAAATTGCTGGAGAAGCTTATAATAAACACAAAGGAATCGATGTGGAACCAAGGCAAACGGGTGCTTCTTGCAGCTTAGTTTTGTTCTTTTAACTTATTTGCTTATAAACTCATGTTTTACCACCAATAATTGGAATTAAAACATCTTGATATATAATTAAAGTAATATTACCTCAATAATTCTATTTATTTACAGATGTAATTCAAAGTATATTGAGCTTTTATCTGAAGATGTCATAGAAAACACAATTCAATTTTTTAACAATTTGATAGTAAGAATGCCCAAGAAACATACTTGCAGTCATTTATTGAAAAGAAGGAAACAGAGAAAAGACGGTTTAGATCTGAAAAGTCTAAGGAAAAAGAATTTTCTTATGTTTACATACTTGCAGACACATACATTCTTATACTTACATACTTGAAGACACATACTTGCAGTCATTTATTGAAAAGAAGGAAATAGAGAGATGACGGTGTAGATATGAAAAGTCTAAGGAAAAAGAATTTTCTTATATTTACCACATTAAGATTGAAGGTGTGATAAAGTAAGCAAGAAAGCTTTTTGCAGTATGCATAGAATTTCTGTGAAACAAGTCAGACGTTTATGCATTTTATTAAAAAATAAATCAGGAGCCTATAGATCACAGAAGTAAATCTCAAAGATCACTATGCAGCGCATTACCTAGAGATACATTAACAAAGTACGTGAGCATATCGAATCATTTCTTGTTAAATATGTGCACTAACATAGTAAAAATGCATCGTCTTATTATTTGGATCAAAAACACAATGTGAAAATTGTTCACACATTATACGCACAAAAATATCTAGGCCATCCTGTTAAATATAAGTTTTACTTAAAATATTTCCACAAAAATTTTAGTTTATTGTTTGGTAAAAAGCAAATAGGTGTCTGTGGACTGTGCAAAGAGGTAAAAATTAAACTAAAAAACCCACACCTTAATGCCAATGCAAAAAGAATCTATCAAGCAGATATTGAGATCCACAATAGACAAGCAAACAAATATCCCTAACCAGGAAATATTTTATCTACGTCAATTATGGTTGTATGAGTTTTGCATAAATGACTTTAAAACTGGTAAATCAGTATTTTATTCATATGGTGAAGGAGTTCTAACAAATGTTCCAACGAAGTATGTACCTTTTTACTGGATTATATTTTTAAAAATATAAGCAAAGAAGCTAAGGAACTGCACCTATTTTCTGATGGTTGAAAAGACCAAAACAGAAATCATGGCTTGGTCCGAATACTTTTATCACTGGTAGCTGAACTAGATAGCAATATAAATAAAGAAAAATATTACAAACCAAAAAGAGGTCACTCATTCTTGCCAAACGATAGAATGTTTGGAACAGCAAAATGATCGGATTTACAGACCAAGAAAATATGAAAATATGAAGACCCAAAACTAAAAAAATGCAAAAAATGGTGGTCAAACCATTATATGAAACTTGTGCTAACTGTGGATTTCTATAAAAAAGGAGTACCCAAGGATAAAAAAGTAACCTTTAGTATTTCTAAACTTTTGGAAATCCATATTCTCTAAGAACACACCAGGTTTAGTGACAACACGTAAATCCATAGATTGTTTAGTCAGTTATGATTTTTAGCTATTACAAGAGATGGGTACAAGGCCAACCTTACCATTAACTAGTACTCCTGCATATGTTGGTAAATTGCCTATTAATGAAAAAAAGATATCAGATTTGCAAAAAATAGAAAAATATATTCCATATTTATTAAAGGAGTACCACAACTTCTATAAAAAGGTTTTTGCTTGGCCAACAACTTCCGCAAACAATGAATTCTAAAAAATAAGTGATGATTAACTAATAATTGTTTTTATGTAAGAATAAATCGTTATTATTCTGATAAATTTTGGATTTTTATATCAAAAAAAGTGTTCATTGCGAAAAAAACTTAAGTCTAGAAATTTATATTAAAAATATATGTTTTATATGTTATTTTTTATAATAAATAAAACTCTATTTTGTTTATCTACTCTAAGATAAATATGTCACACATAATAACTTTTGCGACTTTTATTTATCTACTTTTATAATCAGTTTCTTTAGCACCATATACTTTTTTTCTAATAAATTCATTTTTGTTGATACTGAAAGGTTTGAATAAATGGATTTGTGCCCTTTTCAAAATGACGGGTTCGATTCTTACTCAGTGCACTAATTATAACTGTTAAAAATTATTGAATTTAACTTAATGTTATATAATTTAAATTCAATTATTTATTTTCATACTTGCAGCAACCAACATTGCATAAATAAATAATGAACTTTAATTTTTTTTTAAGAGACAATTCTACATGAATTGCTTCATGCAATGGGCTTTGTACACGAACATCAACGTTGTGATCGTGACAGTTACATTGAGATTGTTAAGTCAAATATTAATTGCCTTAAAGGAGGTTAGTTTAAACTACCTTTGTTTAAAGAGATAATTGTGTTAATAATTTTACTTAATTCATAAAAAAGTTTAAATGATTCCTGCATCTTAAGTTGAATGGTGTCTCACTAATTACTAACTAATCACTAAATACTAGTTTCAAATAAGTACAAAAATGTTCATTTATGAAATAGTATATTTCATAAATGAACTACTCATAATTGATAAATGAAATGTTCATTTATCAATTATGAGTATTTCATTTTCTCATTTATGAGTGTTTCATACCTTTCCATACCTGAGTATTTCATACCTGTACTTTCTAAAAATT